TACGAGATAGTATATCACATGTTATTATACAAATTGTAAGATTTATGTGTCAAAAAGTTAATATCTTAAAAATAAAATTTTCCACCACTTACATAAAAACACGTGGTGCACCACTCGTGTTCCCGTCACGTTTAAAAATCTCTCCTCCAATAGAGATGGATAAAAGTCTAAAAGTAAGAAGATTATCTGATTTGTCCAAAAATTCATCTTTAACCGATAGTTGAACTATAATTTTATAGTGTCCACAAGGCTATTATTTACCGATATTGCTAAAGTTTATTAAATGTGTGATCCTCGTCATCAATCATACTCTTTTCAAGGAATATCATTCACAATGCAGCTATAGGCATGCCGATGTCGTTGAAATAACTATAACAATGAAAATATAAAGTCTTACCTTGTGTGAAGGTTCCTTTTATTGGTTAGGATTTTGTTCTATGGTGAGAGTGGTTTTAATGCTCATCCATTGAGCCCTAGCAAAAAGAAGACCATCATATTTTTATTTACCAAATAAGAATATAATTAGTTTTCGAAGAGAATAATATCATTTATGAATGTTATTTTCTTTGAGAAAATTTGTAGGTTTAGAGTTTGCTCCATTGGAGTTTTGGTCCATATATTAAAAATTCATGAATACCAATTTATAAACTCGTTACAATGTAGATCAAAGGTTATTTTGGAAAAAAAAAAAACACTAGTGTTAGAACTTTTAAAACAAATGATATCAAGGAGCAAACAAGAGACGGAAATCATAACAGGGTTACCAAAATAATCATTTCTCCGCATTAGGGTTGTTTTCATTGCCTATTCTATGACCAACGACCCAAGCCTTTTAATTAAACTAGTCCTCCCACCCACCAGAATTAGGCAGCTTGTAGTGGACATACCCTAACCCTAACAATTCTTCCTCTATTTTTTTTATAAATTTGTTAGCTTATATATATATATAGAATTGTCACATATGACTGCGATGTGCAACCTTTCTCATACATGAAATTCTGGGGTTATCAGGCACATCAAACTTGAATTAACGTAAAATAAGATCAATTCATTCACTTGGTGCCAAGTTTATTAGTGAAAGTTTAGCAAATAAATACAATTAGGTACCTTCTAATTATATTATTTATTGTTTATTCTTGTTTTAGTTTATATATCATTATCAACTTTGTCTAACAAGTATATTAGTATGAAGCTAAATTATTACAAACATGAGGTTTTGAACAAACAAAAAGAGAAAAAAGAAAGAGGATGCATGGACTGTGGAGGAAAATTTCGACAAAAGTTGCTTACTTTTTCTTGGCAACCAAACAGCCTCAATGGTACGATATTCTTCACCTAAACTTTCCAAGAAAGCCTTAAGCTTTTCCAATTCTTATTGGGGTGTGGTCCCCCACGAGATTCAAAATTACATATTTAGGTTTTTTCCATTTTTATTTTTTTACGAATACGGATAACATTCAAAATAACTATATAGCGTTTTAAAATTGTATATGTCACATTCCGATCCAGGCCTCCATCATATTTCGGGTTCGACTCTACGTAGCACGATATTGTCCTCTTTGGACCCCGACCACGCCCTCATGATTTTGTTTCTGGGAACTCACATTAGAACTTCCCAGTGGATCACCCATCATGGGATTGCTCTCGCAGATATTATCGGCTTTGGGCCCCGACCATGCCCTCACGGTTTTGTTTCTGGGAACTCAGACGAGAACTCCCTAGTGGGTTACCCATCATGAGATTGCTCTCGCGCGAACTCGCTTAACTTCGAAGTTCTAATAGAACCCGAAGCTAGTGAGCTCTCAAAATGCCTCGTGCTAGGTAGAGATGAGAATATACATATAAGGCTTACATGATCCACTTTCCTAGGCTATGTAGGATGTTACAGTATATATGTTATGTTACTAACTATTTATGACATGTAAAAATACCAAAGGCCGGGCATGTTGAATTTATTGATATGTGGTCTACGGAGTTTTGAATAATCTCCAAATTCAGTCATTTCTTTTAAGTTAGACTTTAAATTCACTTGACTAACAGAATCTATTCGGAAATTCAAAGTTCATTGATGACGGGTTAGTAAAACCACAAACGTACCTCTCATAATTTTGTTCACTTAACGATGGCGATGCCGTCACTTCACATTGGTTATGTCATCACTTACCACTTATTTTCGGCCGGTAGAAATAGTTTTTATGAGTAAAACTGTCCAATGCTTAAAAATTGACGGTTCTACTTGTTTGACATATAGATTTCTGCAAATAAATTGACCGTTCTATTTGTTTGACATATAGACTTCTGCAAATAAATTGACCTATCAAGGCTACACAAAACACAAAAGATGAACTGACATGGGGGCCGTCCATGCACTCCAAGCACTAAGGTCGATTAACTTGCTGTCAATTTTCTTCCTGGAAAACGACTTCCAATATTATCAAGTAAAAAGATCGAAGTTGAAGTCTGCCTAACTCAAATTCTTAACCTCACAAAGCCAGTTGTTTTATTAGCAATAAAAAAATACTCGACTATTTTCTTTCCAAAACTAACGTTGTCGAATTCTTGAAAAGGCATAGACTTTCAAATTTAATGTCCTTAATTTCAAGATATAAACGTTGAAGTTGTATGATATCAATCCAAAATTAATTAACAAGTCTCACAGTTAGGTCTAGCCACATATTTAGATAAAAAAACCCTTTACGCATAATGGGTAATTGTAAAAAATTGTACATATCATAATCAACATATCTACTCAACTATGTAATTTTGGTAATTTTTATGAGAAACTTTTTCCTAATCCCAACCTGTCAATCACAATTTAGTTATTTACACAAATAATGGCTAGTTATTTGATAACAATAAAACATAATAACAATTACTAACATTAAAAATTAATTGAGGATAATATAAAATAAAGACTTGGTTCATGATTGATCTAAGGAAAGACATGGTTGAATTTGATGACATGGAAGAATATTCGAAACTCCAAATTGGCTCCAAGGCTGCACAATCCTCGTCGTAATTCCGGTGGAAGTTTGAATAGCTCTATCTCTCAGGGACGGTCTGTTCTCAATGTGTGTGTGTGTTTTTTTTATTAAAATTTTAAGAGGATTAGTTTGTGACTTTGTCACGTCAAGTTATTGCCGTGAATGTATATATTTATATGATTACAAACTTTTAGGAGTAAGGAGTTAACCAATCCAATTAGGGCTTGGATTAGGAATTCTCTTTGTCGGCAAGGAAAGCTACATTTTTCCTTTTCTTTCTTGCACTTGTCGGATCTCCCATTCCTTGGACTTTTAGCACAATTACATGCGTAATAATGGAAAGACCAAATTTGAGAACCGATTAAAGCTGAGAAATCTGTGTGTTCTTACCACATACAGTCTTTCATTTGTCGCCTTCATGTTACGTTTTAATAAACCCTTGCCAACAACTTCAATAATTGCTCGTTAACAAAAATAAACAGTATTAAAACGTACACATATATTTTGTATCTTTGTAGTTTCACTTTGTTTGTTTGGTAATATTAATTTTCCACACGACGACGTTGAATCGTACCAACCACTGCAAACATGAAGAAGAAAATAAACATCTGCAACAACAAACGTTGGCTGAATTTATGGGCCTCTTTTGCGAATCGAGATTTCTTCGGATCTCGTAGTCAGCGGACTCAAAGATGAGGGCTGTTCAAGCGGAAAATAGAGTCGGACTCTTGTTCGGATAAGATGTGCTAATGAAGATTATAGATTTAAAATGAGTAATCTGAATCTCTAAATCTGCCGGTCCAGATATAGAAATCCATAGAGGATCCCAATTCCCAAATCTTCTTTTGCAAGCACAGGTGTGTTGACGTGATAGATTACACGCCCCGCATCACACACCGACATTGTGTTTGTTGAACCCAGCTCCAACTCCTGGAACTAACTATGGTCAAACTGTAGTTTATCATGATTGATAAGGTTGTTGAGTCTTTTATGTTGGACAGCGTGACATCCTCGTTTAAATCGGTTGAACTTGTGATTGTTCTCAAACATTCAATATGACCACTTAGGTCAGGACTACACTGCCATGATATTGAAACTGGTGGGTTGTTAGTTAGATATATGATAGATTCATATAAAAAATTCAGTGGTTAAGTTGAATGTACTATGTTGATCGATTTGCTAATCACCTATCACTACAAGAAAAGTGATCAGCAATTACTCTAATGTAACTGTTTAATTTAGTAGTAATTGCTGGAGTAACAATGATGTTGCAAATAAGAAAATTGTGCCAAAAGCTAAAAATAAGTAATAGTACACCACAATGGTGACTAATGCATTAATATATATAAATATATATATATATATATAAATATATATATATATATATATATAGAGCTTAAGGGGAGGGATCCCCATTTTTTGAAAAAAATGGGGATTAGGTGTGGGGCCCACTTCACATCAAATTTCAACGATCCGAACCGACTATTTTGTTAGTCTCGATTCATAGATCATCCTTGCAAAAATTCAATTTAATCCGGAACCATTTGCCTATTTAATTATCAATATCAAATTTCATATTTTCTTATATAACAAAGTATTCGTTCATTTCCTTGAACCCAATTAGATGTCTTAAACATTTCCAATTTAGCTAATATTTTGCAAGGATAATCTATGAATCGAAACTAACAAAATAGACGGTTCGGATCGTTGAAATTAGATGTGAAGTGGGCCCCACACCTAATCCCCATTTTTTTCAAAAAATGGGGATCCCTCCCCTTAAGCTCTCTGTATATATATATATTTATATATATATATTTGTCACTATTTTCTCATTAGCAATATTATTATTAAGTTAAACTGCTAACAGGTAACCTATCCAACAGAATTTGTTAAAGTAATGCAGTTTGTAACTTGTTAATTTGCTTACTGAGCTTATTGGCTTTTGGCTTTTGACTTGTATATTTACTTGCTGAGTTTATTGGTTTGTATAGCATTTTAATTTTATTTTAAGTATAGTTTTTTTAAGTGTACATAGGCATTTATTTATATGATATAATAATAAATTTACTTAAATTCACCTAATCCGTCTAGACTCCTGGACTTTAAGCCACATCCGCTGACAAACTAGCGCCTAACATATTTCAGAACCTTTAATTAAACACAACATATGTAGTCATAATCTTCTCTTCCTACGAATTAGGAAGGCTTCCCAAGCCAGTAGTCGCAAGTTTGTTAACAAGAGCCAGTGCATTATTGGTGATATGCGTAACTTTCGAAACCCTATTTTGTAGCAATTTGACTTGTTTTCCTTTGTGACCCTCAAAGCCATCCAAGCAGGTGTCTCCATCAGTTAGGGCAGCACTGAGCCAGGTTTTCAGGTCCGCCATTTCCGAGCCGAATGTCGTTTTAGTAAGCGTCCTGAGAACACCGAGTGATTTGTGAAGCTCATCGATCGCGTTCAGAAAGCACTCAATGCAGTCGGACAAAGCAACTTTGTTTATCCCTTGCATACCACGCCTGTGCTTTTTCAGAGTTACCTGTTGAAGAATGTAACAAATCTACATGTCGGAAACTTACAAAACAAAATACAAATATATATAAGTGAACTGTTCTACTACTAATAACATATAGAACCAATTATTATTTTTTTCGATAAAACCCCATACTTATGCATGTATTAGCAAGTGGTTAAACGTCAGTTGAGAACAACCATCGGTGTTAATTAGTAGTAGACCCACGCCACTCGTTTCTCTTTGAAATTTTGACATTACCAAGTAATGAGCAGCACTCTTGGTCTCGCTCAATGAAACTGAAACCCCGGCTCGTGCCCACCTGCTAGGGCTGTCCTTGGCCAATGTCGAAAACGATGCCAGTGAGTGGATGCAAAGGTCTCGATACCTGGTCACACTGCAGGCCTCTTGAACATAGTTTTTGTTCCCTTTTCCAGATACCAATTGAGTTGAGAAACTCAGCCACATAACAGGAAAAATGAGTGACACGAAGACGTAATTGGTACAAGATGCCATTTTCATTGCGGAAGGAAAAATAATTTTAACCTGTTTTTCTCTGTATATCGAAGAACTGAAGATAGTTAAATCGGAGAAGATGATGAAATCTGAGAGGGTTAAGCTAGCTTATTATACAGGGTCCTAGAGTGTGGGGATTTTTTTCGTAGGCGAGAGGCTGGTGAGTGCAGTAAAGAGGCCAACTGGAAAGAGAGGGATATACTGATGAGCAGAAATCTTAGGTTGAAATGGTGAAAATCATGTGAATGGGCTGCAGGGAATTGATTATTATGATTAAAGATAAATAGGATCTTATATTTCGGTGCTTTTCTAGTATTTTAACTGTTAAACAAATCGTATCTATGATCAAAATTAAAGAACGAAAAACTTTCGAACGAATTAGAATAGTACTTCGAAGCATTATAAAATTTTCGTATATTAATTAGACTACAACAAGTTAGATTGATTAATATGAAAACAAATAAAGGCAAATATTCAAAGGGATTTAAATTTTAGCAGCCCCATAAAGTGAGGTTAGGGAGATTATGTTGAATATAAAGTCTTAACAATGCGTGGTTAAGTTCGGACAATATTTACGTGGTTAGAAGTAGACTATTGATCTGTCTCTCTAAATATGATTGGTCTAGTTCAAATGAATCAGAACAATTAGTCTTATTTCACGTGAATAAATTAATTTAGATCTTTCATGAAAAATGTTTTGCACTATGTATCATTATCGCACTCCCTATCATTACAATTTTTAAGAAAACTAATGAAAATGACTTGAAAACTTTGAGTTTTAACGATAAGGACAAAATAAAGGCTAAAGTGAATAGTATCATGTTTGACTTTTTAGTGTAAAAATATGATTTTTCATTAAAGTGAACAGTATTGCGGGCTTTTCGTTAAAACTCCCTACATTTTTCTCATGATAGCTAAATCTTGAGCCAAACCCTTTTCTCCCATCAACTTCTCTCGTTTATTTAATTTCCTTTGGCAATTGGTATCAAGTATCTTTTCATATCACATGCAGATGAGCAATTTTTTGGTTGGATTGTCGTGTTATTAATGTGTTCATGTAAAATGGTCCATGAGATTGATATAACTATTTATTTTGATCTCTGATAATAAAAATCTATATTCTTGTTAGATTGTCAAGTGAACAACCACGTAACCACCTTTTTAAACGTATTTTTTGTCAAACCAAGGGATTTAAGACTTAGGATTGAATTAAAAGGCAAGCCACATCACTTTTTATGGGACCAAACTTTGGGTTGCTTGCATTATAGGCCGAACCAGCCCAACCAAACCCAACGCTACTAATAGGCCTGGCATTTTGGACCCAACCCGTTAACCCGACCCGACCCAACCCGTTAATATTTGTATTTGGGTGGATGCTTAACGGATCGGGTCGCTAACGGGTGAACCCGTTAACAACCCGTTAACAACCCGTTAAATAACGGGTCACTTTAGCTCAACCCGTTAGACCCGTTAACACCCATTAGCACCCGTTAATTGAGAATATTTTAGTAATTTTAGTAAAGTCTTAATAACAAAAAATAAACTTTATGCAAAAAAAAATAATAATAATTGTTAACGGGTGTTAACGGGTGAAACGGGTGATCCGTTAGCTTAACGGGTTGGGTTCGGGTGACCCGTTAACTTAACGGGTCGGGTTGAACCCGACCCAAACCTAATAAACCCGACCCGTTTACAGGTCTGTACCCAACGACGTCGTTGCATCTTGATTTCCTTGGTAAGGTTCAACGGTTCGGATGCGCCTAATAAACAACCTAATTTGCCTCGCGCGTTCAGTCACCAGCTTCCTTCGTCTAAAACCTCACGCAGAGACAGAGCTCCCCAAAAACCCTAAACGCCCAAAGGTAATTTCGTTTAACTTTTCAATTAGTTTGAATTATCCGACGAATCCCTAGCATAAATTCACTCTCTCTGCAATCTAAATGCGTATACTTTTTTTTTGTTTTAATTTTTTTTGCAGTATTAATCACAAAGCTACGAAGCTGAAATTGCAAACGCTGAAACTCAATATTCTTGAAATCCATGGCTCGCTTCAAAAATGTAAGCTTGAAAATTTTCGGTTCTGTTTGGATGTCGAGAAAATTTGAATCAAAGAGGTTTTTTTGTTGTTGTTAATTTTCTCGGAAACGTAGTTGATTGTTGTGTTTCTGAAAATTTGAAAACAGAAGAAGAAGGTGTTTGTGAAGCCGGTTTCGACGAAGAAGCAGGCTAATGTGGACCATATCACAGGGGATAAAATCCCAAGGAGCTTTGTGTTTTCCAGATGCAAGTTGCCTGGTCCTCTGAGGCAGCTTCAAGCTGATTTGAGGAAGCTCATGCTTCCCTACACTGCCCTTAAGCTTAAGGTATGCAAATATTCGTTCCGTCTTTATATTTTTCGCAATGCTTTATGATATTTGATTTGTTTAAATTTTAATTGATTAGAAGAGATGAGGTAAGAATCTGAAGTAAAGAGCTGAGCTTTTTCCGCAATGTTTTTGCAGGAGAAGAGGCGGAACAATCTTAGAGACTTTTTGAATGTGGCCGGGCCTATGGGGGTTACACATTTCCTCATGTTGTCGAAAACTCCAACTGCGCCATACCTTAGGGTTGCGAGGACACCTCAAGGCCCAACGCTTACATTTAAGATACAGGAGTACTCTTTGGCGGTTGATATTGCGCGGTCTCAAAAGCGTCCTAGATGCCCGGCAGATCTTTTTAAGAATGCCCCTTTGGTAATCTTAATCAGTTGCAATCTGCTTAGGCAACTTCATGTAGTTTAAAGTTTCACGAAAAGGATATCGTAAAATGGGTTCTAACGAACATTGTTTTTTATTTCGTAGATTGTTCTTTCTGGTTTTGGGACCGGAGAGCAACATTTGAAGCTCACAACGATACTGTTTCAGAACATCTTTCCAGCCATTGATGTTAACACTGTAAGTTCACGAAATGATACCAACCAGTTGTCGGATTGAAAAGGATTTATGTTCCCCGCTGAGTGTGGTCTTGCTGTGAATGTTTCAGGTGAAACTTTCTTCATGCCAAAGAATAGTGTTGCTTAATTACAACAAGGACACAAAACTGATTGATTTCCGGCATTACTCCATAAGATTACAGCCTGTGGGTGTCTCCCAGAGATTAAGAAGATTTGTTCAGAACCATCAAGTCCCTGATCTAAGAAATCTTCAAGACGTGAGTGACTTCGTCACAAAGTAAGCCTCCCCCCCAATTTCCTTTTCCCCGCTGTCTCTAATTGTTTAGTTATTTAGTTTTCTATTATTGGGTTGCATTTTGAAAGTGGATTAAACTTGATCTTTTATCTTATTCCGAAGGGCTGGTTACGGATCAGAAAGTGAAGCAGATGATGAGGCAGCGACCGTGACTTTGGCTAATGATCTAGGTAGGGTTAATCGGGCTTCCTCAAAAAGTGCTGTCAAGCTTCAAGAGATAGGACCCAGAATGACCCTTCAACTCATGAAGATTGAGGAAGGATTGTGCACCGGTGGAGTCATCTTCAGTGAATATGGTACGTTAATCTTATCCTGTCGTACATTTCTTGTGATTTTGACAGTCTGCTCTATGACGTTATGATTAAGAGAAGACGAGGGACAATTATATGCTTATGCTTTTCTTTGATTAGGAAATGGCGATGGGAAGAAAAAGGAAGACAACCATGAAGATGAGGAAAACGATGACGAAGACGAAGAAATTGATGATGAAGATGAGGAAAATGATGAAGAAGATGGTGAAGATATCGACGAAGACTAACAACTCCAGAAGCTGTCTTTCCTGTTGTACGTTGATATTCCTCCGTTTGTAATCGTCAACCATTTGAGTGTTTGCAGTCTATTGAAAGACTGAAATTTCGATGCACCCATCAATACATATGTTTTGAGGATCCAATCACTTCATATTACTTCTTTCATTTGCAATTGCAATGTTTGCTTTCTGCAACTTAAGTCTTTTTATTGGTTCTACTCATTTGATGAATGGCAAGGATGAAAATCCGAAACTGCGCACAAATAATACCGGTTACAAATTGAATAAATAGTAGAACTGAGTGGACACTAAATCGACAATAGAATTTTTATTAAAAGTTTGTAACGGTTCTATTTGTGCATTCTTCCGCTGTAGATATTGTGAATGACAGACCGTTCAGAAATTATGTATCCAAAATCCTATTACATTTACTAACCAAAACGAACAAAATTGTTCAACTTAACTTAATTCTTGAAAACTTGGTAGGCAATCAAATGGAACAAAACCCCCCAAAGCACCTGAACCCTCAAAAAAGCAGTGAGCACGCTGCCATACATTTGCAGAAGCCATCGCTCGAGTCAAGACTTGGTGCGAAGAAGCTCTTCGGAAGGAACCTCAAGTGTTGCTCCCGCATGAACTTTATCCGGCTTCACTTCTGCAAAATTCAATCAGAGTTTGAACGTTAAACAAATCTCTTTGGACTGCTGTTGATTATACAACTCACCAATCTCAACATCCCGGTCTCTGTCGCGGTATCCCAAGGAGAATTTATCATATATAGCCAATATTTACACTCTACTTTCGTAAATATCAGTTTTTATAAAAACTATCAAATATATCCAAAATTTCATTGTAATAGACTTTAATACCCTCAAGTGGTTCGGTGACAGCAATCATGTTGTGAGTTTGAATGAAAATGAATTCCAACGATTTTAGGTGTTGTGTAATTTGATTTTAATTTGTAGGGTAGTTTGATCTATTTAAAGCATGTTTTATGCTATGATTGATAGTTTTATTAAAAACTGACATTTCTGAAATTAGGGGTTAAATATTGGTTATATACGAGAAATTCCCTATCCCAAGTCAAGCACGCGATCTGGCATATGAAAAGAAAGTTAGCGTGAATGACTTGAGATACCGCTGTAATGACATCAGGTGTAGCAACATTTCTCTCCTCAATCATTCCTTATACTAACTTACTTGAAGCAAAAAGCATATCAGATTTCGGCACCACAACAAAAACCAATCACTGAAATTTAACAGAAAATGCACACAAAAGCAGCCCACACAAGCATTTTAACAAACACATTCAAGGCACTCAAACGCCATCGATTCTTCTCCAACACGTACTTCCTACAACTTCAACAACGGAACGGATTTACGAGAGAGATGAATTGGAAGTGAAAATTTACCGTAACCGCCGCGGGAATTGAGCTTGGCCTGGACGATCATTTCGCTGATGAAACGGGAGGCCTCGCCTGCCTGATCCAGGAGACTCTGGATCTCCGCCTCTGACGTCACGTGCCTGCTCTCTTCGAACTTCTTGCGGACCTCCGCCGCCGCGCCGCCGTTCAGCATCGTCACGTCTCCGGCGAAGGACTTCCGCGTCGCTCGTAGCAAAGCTTTGTACGCGTTCAGTACTTGTGCTCTCGTCATCTCAGACTCGCAGCTCCGCCCCTCTCAGTCCTCTCGGGCCGTCTTTTGCTCTGCTGGTACTTTCTCCAAGCACGATGTCGTTTTTGTCAATTTTTACTTTTCTTTTCCTTCAAATTTAGTTAATATGATGGGCTATTTCAGTAAAGCTGTTTTCCTTTTGGGCCGGCGGGCAAGTGTTAGTATGTAAGGTCCTTTTTTTTTCAAAATTTATTTTTTTATTAATATAAGAGGGATCTCACCACCACCACCACCACCCATAGTTGGCAGACGCATCATACATGTACCTTCTGGATCAAACGGTTACACAAAAACAGAGTCAGTGACTTCAATAAATGCATTCGTGAGAGGTTCTACTCACATTGGGTGTTTGAACCCTTAGTCGCTTGCACTAAACCCACCTCTTGCAGAGTCATTTCTTTATTTTTGAGAGGGGTTAGGCCATCTCCAATCGACCCGAACAAAAGGTTATAGGGTTAAAAATAACTTGGAATGACACGAAAATTATCTTTAACCGAGGGCTAGTGAGCCCCACTGGGTCAAAACCCCCAAATCAGGCCAGCAAGCTGGCCATTTCCAGCCCTCTAGCACCAGAATGTCAAGCTTTACATTTTGCCAGCACTCTAGCTTAACCCATTTGAATGCCAATGACTACCTGATGTCATGCTACCATTGAAATTTGAATATTTTTTGGACGAATTTGAAAAAAAAAAAATTTCCTACAAATACCTAGGTCATTCCTACACCATTTCTCACATACTTTTCACTTTAGCGTTACTCACTTTAGCAATATGTGTCACTCAAAATCCTATCCAAAAATTATTAAGATTACATAAATATAAGAAATCTGGAAAGTTACTCATGTTAGAGACATGTGTCTCTCGAAATTCTATCCAAAAAATTATTGAGATTATATAAAGATAAGAAATCTGAAAGCTTATTCATTTGACGACAAGTGACACTCAAAATATCTGAAAATCTTATTTTAATATGTTAGTTTAATTTAATTAACCATATTAATTCAATTAAAATAATAAATTATGTTTGGCCTATGACTATTTGGCATCCTCGGTTGGAGATGGCTTTTTGTCAAAGGGTTAGGTTTGGCCTATACCCCTTTTAGCTCCCTCAATTGGAGATTGTATAAAATACGGTCTGACACTGTTCATTATAATATAATCTATTGCAGGACTGTAGGTCTAAAGGAAGCCCTTTGGCCCTCCTTGATTGGAGATGGCTACAGGAATCTAAGGTCATCTCCAACTAAGGGCTGGCCATATGGCTCGTTTTAGCCATCTGACCTTCTAAGAAATTAATATTTTAATGAACAGTACATGACCATATTTGCTTTCATCTCCAACTGAAGGTCAAAGGGCCATATGGCTCGTTTTAGCCTTATCACAAAAAACCATCTCCAACCGAGGGCCAAAGGACTATAGGGCCAAACATAATTTAGTATTTAAAAACTACAACTTAAATTCAAATCCAACTTAAATTGAATGTTATTTAATGTTGTTTCATATTGTTTAATGTTGTTTCATGTTACTTAAGTTAATTTAATGTTATATAATGGTTTAGGAAGTTATAGGAAAAAAAAAAAAAATTTTAAACAATTTAAAAAAAATTTGTAAAAAAAATTCAAAAATAACGGCTAGCTGACATTAGCTAGCCGTTATATTCAAAATTTTCCATGCGATTTGTGTCGGTTATAACCGACACTATTTCTTTTATTTCTGTTGGTTATAATCAACAGCATAAAAAAAAATTCCAACCAGCCTGCATGCGGCCAGCTCTTTGGCCCTTTGGCACTTTCAAATTCCGTGGGGCCCATGAGCCCTCTAGCCTAGCTTTCGGTTTTCGGGTTATTTTCGGCCCTTTGACCCTCTGAACCCTTCGGTTGACCCTCTGGATCTTTCGGTTGGAGATGGCTTAACTAGTATGATATGTTTAAAGAACAATTGTGGCATTATTAATATAATGGTAATGTAAGTTCAGCCCGGTCTACTTTCGGAACCGGCGAACCCTACAAACTCACCAGAAACGTCCATATGAATTCATCCTGCATTCAGACGTTAGCGAGTCTAATGGCACATTCATAATCCTTTGCACACGATTTTAGAATGCAAAATTGCGTATATACACCAAAACCTCTCACTCTCCAAATGGACCCGACAAGTGTGACAGCAGTGATTAGAGCACACACAGATTCCATCAGGTTGCCAACATCCTTCCTTCTGAATAGAAAGCCGATGCCTAAATGATACAAAGGAACCTTTGCTTACCGAGAAAAATGATATATAGAAGCCGTTTGTATGCTCCAATCAATACGGCTACCTCAGTGCATCAACCATTCTGCAATCGTGCTTCTTACGCCGACATCTGTGATGGGACTTTTGATCCGCAAATGTGTTCTCCCCCACTGTCTCCATCATAGAATCAGCATCTGAAGCAACATGGGACGCATTAATATATATATCCAGTTGAATCAAACAATTTGGAAAACCTAAGGTTACGATTCTCATGAATACAAACGCAAGCAAAAGACCGAAACAAATTACAAGATTCTGTGATTTCCCAAACTACTTGACATTCTTCTTCTTCTTCTTCTGCTGATCATTTTACTATTTTCTCATATCCATATATTTGCCTACGTTTAGGCCCTAATTGTCTACGTTGATAAGCTGATAAATCAAGACCGGAACACGAGCATCTACCCGAGGGTTTTCATTTTAGATCATAATATTGTTCTTTATAACACCGGCATAAAGAGACTAAAACAGTGCAAGCAAACACACTGATAGATCATCTTACTCCAAAAACAAAAGTCGGTCTTATCACTCAATCCTGACCATAAAGCTATGTCTTTGCTTGTCCAGATTATCTCAATCTATAAACTAGTAATGCAGAAACAACTTCATCGTGTGCCCGTTCTGATTACTGCCTCCCATATTCAAATACTGAAATGCATCACTAGTGATGCCACTCTATATATGTTCAAAGTTCAAACCAAGATCCTGCTAGTTTACTAACCGAGCGTAAGAGCAAGCGCCACAGCCTTCGATTTAGTGGCTGACCCCCTCATCCCTCATCCTAACCTTTCATTTCTGCCAAAATCTATGTTCAGATTCTATCTACCAAACAAACTCGAATGCAGAGAACTATAGCTAAACAACATTCGCCAATCTCGTTCCTGAAACACTAGAATGAAACCATACCATTGCACATGTAAAACAGATGTACACAAATACATATATGCAAATCCGAAATGCTTCATTGTGCTTCAAATTAAAGTGTTCGGACAAAATGTACCTCCAAATTGATCGCTCCAAAACAATACCCGAGTATCCTCCTCCTCCTCATCAAACTCATCGCCATAGCCTAACTCCGCGTCCCCACGATAACCCGGTTCACTGCCGTACCCGGACTCATTCCCCTGAGCATCAATACCCCCGATGGGACCAAACCCAACACCCACATTCTCCTTCTCTCCACTCCCCCCACCGCCATCTCTCTCCTTCCTCGAATTCCTCGCCTCACTCACATCCGACGCCCAATTCGCATCCCCATTCCCAAACAGCTCCCCACTCGAGTCCGTCCCCACCGCCACCGGAAAATCCGAACACGTCCCATACGCCGCCGAAGCCCCAACCGAGCAGCACCTCCGGGTCCCACTCCGCTCACTACTCCTGCCGGAAACCGACCTCGACCCACGACGCCGCCGCTTCTTCGCGATGAACCGGAAGCTCCCGTTCCTAGTATGGTGTCCGCCGGAGATCGTCCTGTCGTCGTCGACCAAGGTCAGCCGGGACATGTCGACGGCATCGATAGAAAAAGAAGTCATCCGGTTGGAGAGGCAGGGGCGCTTGGTGTGGACGACGAGGCCATTGGATTTGGGATCGGAGGAGTCTAGGGTTTTGGAGGTGGGCGTGGAGGTCTGATGCTGCTGCTGCTGCAGCTGGAAAGGTCTCCAGCCATGGAGCTGGAACGCGCAGGAATCGACGGAGTGCCGTGAATCCAGGGATTTGTGTGACATTGGGATGAGGATTTCAGTATTTAGGGTTTAGGGTTTATGTAGGAGATGGAGGATCGGGTTCTTCAGCTTACTTGGAGGACTTTCAGGATTTATCAGAGGATTTGGAGTTTTGGAGAAGACTGACGGTTTTTTTTTTCTGGAAAATATGAATTTCTGAATATTTTATGTTTTTTAATTTATTTTTCTGGTGAAGGATGCAGTTCCCACGCGCGGGAATGTATGAAGTTGACACGTGTCACGTGTCGCGTGCCCAGCCTTGTTATATTATTGTGTATTTTCTTCTTTTTCTTTTTTTTTCTTCATTGGAGAGATATATTTTTGGTTGCAAATTCCTTGTTCTTGTTTCAAATTAAAATTCATTCGAAGACGCCTACAGGTGTTCAACCATGTCATTTGTACGTCACTCCACACAAAATACTCCCTTTATTATAACCTCGTTTGTTTTTACTTATGAGCAGGACCGATTCTGAGAGAAAATAGTTATGGATCATTATATAAAAACTCATGCTACAAAGCTAATTTATATGCAAATCAACAAAATTATGAAAAAAAAAAAAAATTTAGAGCAAACCCGACAGAACAAAACTAAAAACATAAAAGCGATTTCTCTAACGCATATGAAGGTCATATTTCTCTTATTCACATGCACAACCTAAAAAAAAATCCCTAATCAAGTTAGCACATATGTAGAAGATATGATCTTTTAGGAGCCCTTTAGGATTGATGGCCCTGAACAAGAGCACCTATTGTACATGTCCAAAACCGTCACAACTTATGAGAACTGCCCTAATCAGACGCCATGCCGAAGAGTCGCTGCTCACTCCAAACATGAAAGCTTACATTTGTGAACTTTAATCTCATTTTCTAGTTTGGATTAGGAATTTGTCAAATTGAAAAAAAAAATGAGCTTTTTGTTCTGTAAAAGGATGATAATCTCCTTTATCTTATCAAAACTATGAAAAATTGATTCAAACCAGTATATACTACAAAAACAACAAATTCACTTCAGCCAATATTTCAATGGAAACGACTCTGACAGGAAGAAAAAGACACAACATTCGATGAGTTTAGAAAGGGTAAAATTCACAGTCCGATTTCAAAACCTTAGCAGCTAGTGAACTACTTTCAGTAATCTTCCTGGATGTATTGAGCATAACCGCTAACTCCGGTTGCATTGTTGTCAAACTGAAAGTTCGAAGGCTTGTGAAAATCGAAAACATATGAAATTGGCCTCGAAACCACCATCGGCTTCTTTGTCGTGATTTTGTCTGGCAACTCCCCGAAGCTGTGGTGATCGAATGGAAACGACTCTGACAGGAAGAAGAAGCTTTCCCTGCCGAACTTTTCAACCTGAAACGAAACGATCATAACCAAATGTTTCAACCTATCATCTCATTGTCACAACCACGGTCGCTTTATTAACATGTTTATCTCTTTAACTTCTGAATTCTACGAAATTTAGAGGGAAGAGAAAGGTGCAGGATGTGAAAAGTTTGCAGTATAATCGTTACCTGTAGCTGAGAAAACCTGATGTTGTTCATAGTGAGTACAACTCGAACTTTGTACAAGGCATCAGTTAACATTCGGATGGCAAGATACTCGAAGAAATTCCGCAAGAGAATCTTCTGTCTGTCCAGATTCTCACTGTAGCTATCAAAATCAGGAAACCATAGCACGCACTTAACTTCGTTCCATGGAATCTGGTTCTCTCCTTCTTTGGACACAATTGTCTCATATGGGTGCTGCAGCCCCCACAAAATTTTGACACCGGTCAGTGACGGGTCAAATATGGTTGTGTCCGACAAACTGGTGGTGGATACTACTGTCGATGGATCACAAAATTTAGCTAAATTTGAGGAAAATTCTAGATTGGTGTCATCCAATACGAGAATGCATCCATCTGAAGTCGGAAACAACTGTAGAAGTGATGTAGCTTCGGCTTCACCACCTTCTGGTATGCATAAAGTTGAGCTAGGTGATGGAATTGGTGGACCCTCATCGTGAGAAAATAAGCATTTGTCACCATATCGACAACCCTGTAATTATATGAAAGTAGATATAATGCAACAAGCAAAGTAACACGTGAAGAAAGATAGGCTTCAACTAAAACCATTTGGTACAGTTTAGCATACTATACTTTCCAGAAAAGCTAATATAAATCACAGCGAGAATATCAATAAATCCATTCAATATAAAATAGATACAGAATACATTCAATCAAATAAAAAGTCCACTGCCTGAGAACATGGCCTACTTTATTCTTTCAAATTCTAAGTTTCTAACAGAAAAGTTCCGTGAGAAACTGATACGAGAAAGCAAACATCATGCGGTTTAAAGTTGTTGTCTACAGAAACTCATGCGGTTTAATGAGTTTTTTTACTTCTACAGAAACTCCCAGTGTCATAAAACGGAAGATATTACTTATTCCATTAAAATTATAAGATTGTGTGCAAACCATGAGGTATAGTGCATCGAAACAGCACTTGACTTCCAGGAACTTCTGTTTTCTGAAATTTTTTCCATATTACCCTTTTAGTTTTTTATGCATTATCTTGGAACAGAGAGTGCGTAGAAAATTCATACCAAGACTTTTATGTCAAAACTACATCACCGTACCATAAAAGTGCCAGGGCTACACAAAACCTTAAAAGGCCATGCAGAGTTCACGAAAAAAATGTGCAAGCGCGATACCTGTGGCGAAGAGAAAAATTTGCATGGGGGTCTCCTTGCTCCAAGTGAATGAGAAAACTGGCATTGACTGCCATTTCTGCAGCCCCCATTGATAAAATATATACAAATAGGAGGCTCATCAGCATCCAAAACCTGATTAGCAGATACATCTTCTGTATACTGAACTCGTATCTGTAAAACAGGTAAGTAAGGGAATGTTCATGTGAAGGAAAATGCGCACAAGGTATGCAGATGAAAGTACCTGTTTGATTATTGTTGCCAACTTTTCAGCCACGTCATTATTTTGGAAGGTATCTGGAGCAACAAAAGGTACAGAAATACATTTCTTTGTTTCACCAGATGGCTCAAGGTGCTGATCAGCTGAAGAAAGGGCATCTGTAGCTTCTTTTGGTTCTTGATATGCAAGGAGGCATGTATGCTCAAATTCATAAGGGTCATAGTAGGATGGAAGTCCATTAGATGTAGACAAAAATTTGGGCCGAAACCGGTGCACTGAATCTAGTATATCTTCATCTGCAAAGAAGGAAACTTGAAATAATTAATGCCACATTACTAATACCACAAAGATTCCAGAATGATGGAGTAATGAGTATTGTCTGCAGAAGATTATCGTTAAGACTAAAGAATGTTGATAGGAATCATGATAGCAATGTACAACATACATATTTCAGATACATGTTTTAGTGACGACTGCACAAGATTATGCAAAGAGCACCAATCTTCTTCAACCTTTGGAAGCAGTACCGTAGTTGCTGTTGTCTCATCAAACATAAGTTGCTTCAATCGCTCCACACGTTGCTTATCCTTTAGGGAAAAAAATGGTTAAGTCATGTACTAAAAACCTACTGGCAGTGGGCTGAATGTGTGTATATCAACAGGCATTGCAAAAGTGCATGCACATCATTACCTTGAAAACACGTTGCCAAAATTGAAATGCACACAAATTTGCCATGAATATAGTCTCCTTCCTACCCTTTAGGGCAGTATTGCTCTCAGCTCCACAAAAGTAGCTGTCAGCATATTCTGAACACTAAAATTGTAGAATAAACTAAATCAATGGTCACTTCTCAAGCAATCAAGCACATCCACAAACTACAGATTTCATACCAAAATTTCATCTCCAAAAGGACGAACAATAGGTAAAGGCTGCGTATCCATTAATATTCCCAGAAGAATTCCTTCGCGCAGCATTCCAATATCTCCAAACTTGAGTACAAGCAGAGAAGCATCAAAAGACAAGGAGAAACTGGCAAGCAAGCGCCCATAAAATGTAGGCTCATACCGGCCCCTTTGAAATGTTTTCTCCAGTGCTTTCATTTGAACAAGCAAATCCAATGCATCTTCAATAACTTCAGGATATGGTGGATCTAGAGCCTTCTGCAATAAGCCTGGCACCAAAGCTCCCACACATTAGAAACACACCACATATTCATGATAAAAGAAAATACTCAATGTAGCACTACATGCAGAATATCACCTTAAATCGCGATTTCAAGTTTAAATCAGACCTAGCGTGATACTGAACCAGATTGTATCGTTTCTTTTAAATGAAAACAAAAACAAAATTGTGACTTGCCAAACACAATTACCATCAAGAGACAAAAGCATCACAAAATTAGACCTGGATTGATACTGAATCAGATTGTATCGTTTCTTTTAAATAAAAACAAAAACAAAATTGTGACTTGCTAAACACAATTACCATCAAGAGAAAAGTATCACAACCTCAGTTAAAGACCAATCCAATGACTGTAAAGCAAATTATAAAAACCTAAAAGAAAGGATGAGTAAACTGACAAAGAAGTAAGAATGTATACCTTTGGGATCATTAATGGCTTTAGATTCAGCACAGCATATCTGAAGCACTTGCAGCCTCAATGATAACCTCAGTATAGACGGACCCTCGTATTTGTCAATCAGGTTGAAAAATGGTCTAGTAACCAACCTATAAATCTGGCCATCACAAGTTCGACCAGTTCTTCCTCTACGCTGCTCAGCCTGCAGCATAAATCAAAGTAAGGAATCAACAATCAAGAGACCAGAAAGAATATCATCCAGTTAGTTTCCTTCAATACCTGAGAATGAGAAACCCAAACAAGCTTCGCAGCTTCCTTCTTCTGAAAACTGTTCCAGAAGACTTGTAAAGATCGGCATGAATCAATAACATAGGCCACCTTGGGTATTGTTACTGATGATTCTGCAATATTGGTAGCCAGTATCACCTGTACAAATTATTCTTTTCAGAAACAGCAACAAGAGTGATGAAAACCAAAGCATAACAGAGGAAAAATCAAATCCCGAAAATCTTTACGTGGTTGGGGGTTGCAGCTACAGGTACAATCGTGTCTCACAAAGGAAAGTATTCGGATTAAACTACCCTTATATATCATTATAATCAACAGCAGAAGTATAGAACAAACAACCACATAAACAAAATATAATGGCGCAGTTATGATATCAAACATACTTTA